CAGGCTCATGGTGGCCGCCTCACTGCGGCACCAGAGCCGCCGCCGCCTCTTTATAGGGCCCGGTGCCGGGCCCCCCCGCCCCGGTCCCGCCAGCGCCACCGGCACCAGCACCGCCCCGCGGGCGGCACCACGACCCGACCCTGGTGGGGGAGTGGGACCTCGCGTGGGAGAAGGGGACCTTTGCGGAAGGAGTGGAGACACGCGGGGGACCCTAGAGACTCCCCAGGCACAGAGCAGCAACGCTGGGAAACGATGGGGACCACCCGCAGCAGAGCGGGACCCCCCAGGCAGGAAATAGGGAGCCCTGGGGTCACCCTGGGCAGAGAGCAGGATTCTCGGGGAGAGGATCCCCTGGCAAGGCAATGGAGACCCTCAGTGGCAGAGGGGACGCCCGGGGACACAGCAGGAAGCCCCTGGGGGACAGTGGAGATGCTCAGGCGAGATAGAGAGAGAAGGAGTGGGAGAAGGGACCCCGGGGACCCTCTTGGAGGAAGAGGATGGAGATACCCCGGGGGAAAAAAAGTGGGGTCCCCAGGAAGCGAGAGGGACATCAGAGTAAGAGATTGGGACCTTCCCCTCCACAGCAGGGCAGGAGACGCTCCCCAGGGTGCCTGGACCCTCCGCCCTGCAGCAGGGCTGGGGACGTTCCTGCCTGGTCCCCAGAGCCGCTGGCTGCGCTAAGGCTGTGACAAGCAGAGTTGGGCAGGACGCGAAGGGGACCCTGCCCGAGCGCGGGGCGCTCCCTGGCAGCCGCCCAGCCGCAGGGCCGCACGCCGGGCCGAGCACTTGCAAACTCACTGCACCCGCATGCTGCATGGCAGGGAGGGGCTGCCAGGCGAGGGGGAGGGAAGCAGCCAATCGGAACAGCGAATCGGAGCACTGATACTGCCCAGCCAATCGGCACGCCAGCAGCTCAGCCAATCAAAGCCCAGGCAAAGCCCAGCCAAGGAGCCCAGCCAATCAGCACACAGGCAGAGCCTAGAGCCGGCAGGCAGGTACAGCCCCCCTCAGCGAGGCCGCTCACTCAGCAGCTACACACACCAACACCCGACACCCAACACCCAACAGCCTACAGCCGGCAGGCACCTACAACACACACCAAACACACTCCTAAAACACCCATACACCCCTACAACCCATAGTCGTCACACCCCTACAATCCACACCCAACACATCCCTACAACCCATATCCATCACATCCTCACAACCCATATCCAACACGCCCTTGCAACACCCAATACACTCCTACATCCTGCAGCCCCACCGCGCTACAACCCACAGCCACATGCTGCTACAACCCACAGTCATCACACCCTTACAACACCCAACCTGCCTCTCCATACCACACCCAACACACCCCCACAACCCAACCGGCAGCTAGAACCCATGTGAGCTCCTTGCTTGGGGCTGCCCAAAGAGGTCTCTTTTCCCCTGTGTCCCCTCCTCATTTGCCCTGGGCACTGCTGGCCATCGGGGTGGCAGGTGGGGATCAATGGGACTTTGGGGACGATGGGGGCTGGCGAGGGGGTGGCTCCACTCCCTCCCTTTCCCGACCCCTGCAGACCTGCCTGCGCTGGCGCATCGCCCCCCACTGCCTCGCGCCTGCGGCCAGTGGCAGCGGGGCCCCCCCCCCCCCCCGCGGGCCCCCCG